ATTGTGGAGTTTTCTTGATCGGAACTGTCATACTGCTGTATTAGATGCATTTGATAGCGTTATATAAGAGCATACACAGTAACGAATATTTCACGGTGCACAACGTACACCACTCGCAATCAGTTGAACGGGAACAATTACATACGGTTTCGGTTTTGGGTTGCGGAATATGGACTCGTCCGTCGTTTAGGGTACCAGGTACGTTTCTGTAGTTTGTCTTTGTTTAGGGTACGTCTGTATACAGAAATGTACCTGGAGTACATATCTGTAGTACCTGTGCCGACAACGACCCCTTCAGCAGTAGCAATCTGGTCTGGATTAAAACAATTCTTGACATTCATTGAATACACAGCATAGCCCAAATAATTCAGAGCTCCTTTCACATATGGCCAACAGGAGAGTAAATACTAGTCTGTCTAACAGACCCTTAGACTAACAACTTGTGATAGTTAAAAACTCTGAAATGAACATATTTTACAGAAAAATGCTCATAGTAAAAAACATAAAATATAATGCAAAGGAAGCCTGAGACTTTCTTCCTGAAGTCGTGGAAATCAATACTTTCCACATTTTCTAGACTTGCGTGGGCTTTCTTGGATATATTTGCTTCAGGGTCTGTATGGCAGACTAACAGTCCCTGAACTGACATTATTTTCCCTACTGCCCAGCCCTCCCTGCAATGCTAAAGCCCTAAATGAAGAAGTCTAGATTCTTGAATGTTCCAACTTAATGGGGCTCCTTTTCAAAATAAATGGGCATATTTGTTCACACTCAAAATTATATATATTCAGGGACTGTGCGTTAGTCTAAGTAGGGACAAGCTGGTCTGCATTAAAACAATGCTTGACTGTGATTTACTGAGCTCACAACATAGCCAGAATAATTCAGCATTGCTGTTGGACATGGCCACTTGCTTGCTAATCCCAACACAAGTGACACAATCTGGTCAAGACTGAAACGGTACATGCCATGAATTCATTGACCACACACACACCAACATGGACGGAATAATCCAACATCACAATCCAAATACTGTCTGGTCGTGATTCAATATATCCTATACATACATATTTCAAAATGGATATGTATTAACAATTTATACTTTACTTTTGTAATTGTGGTGATGTTCAACGGACTGTTTCATTTTTGAAAAAATAATTAACTTCTAAAAAAAATAAAATACACTTAATAAATGTTCAAAGGTCACAGAACAGATTTGATTTCTTCTAAAACGTATTCTTTGAGAATCAACTCCTCTTGTTCAAACCATTGCCTTAATTATTAATTTTCAACTTAATTTAGAATTATTAAACATAGATTAAATATTAAATTCTATTTCAACCTCCCCAATCAGACTAATATTTAGAATTTACATTTGTTCTCTGAAGCAAATATATATCAAGACATACATTGGGGGATAAACTGTCTTTAAAGAAATGATATAGAGGAACAAAGAGAATTTACCTAATGCTCCTGAAACCAAGAAAGCAAGTTCAACAAGGAACTTGCACGGGAGTTTACGATACACTTGTTTCAGGTATGGGAGACTAAGATTTATGGGACATTAATTTTCTGCTGAATGAACTGGAACTTAACACCATGATGAAGAATTCCATATTACTATCTGTAACACCTTTGTGATTTCATAAACACCCACTGTCATCCCCCCTGAGTCTGGGAGTAAGCTTCCTGCTGACTATCTCATCCCCCGTGTGTGTCCTGTCCTAGCTACAGCCTCAGAACCTGCTCACCAGATGGCAGGATGGAGCAAATCTGTCCCTTCATCCCATTAGCATTGAGCATGTTTACTTTAAATTTCCTTCAGGCGGAAATTCATTAACCATGAATTCATGGTCTACAACATTTTAGCCAGGGAGTATCATCACCGTCATGATAGAAAGCGGTCTGTTGATATTGAGCAATTTGAAGCAAAAGCACAATGCTGAAAGTTATTTTTTTTAAATTTCCATGTAAATACGTAAATGAAGATATTTATCTTATTTTGTTTATACATGATATATGCTACTGTATTTATGTCCAAAAATTAAATATCATATAAGTAAACCATGTTTACATCCTGTGTTTTATCAGTATGTGAGCAACTAATCAGAGGGTAAATGAAAATTGTGTTTAATTAACACCAGTAATTGAGCATATAAAATCTATTATATGGTCTCTGATGCATCCAAGTCATTAATCTAAGACAGAAACCCTAACCATGAGTCTGGTATCTTAAAACTTTTAGTTAGAGATCCAAGGAGTGAGTGAGTGAGTGAGTATAGTTTTACGCCGCACTGAGCAATATTCCAGCTATATGGTGGCGGTCTGTAAATAATCGAGTCTGGACCAGACAATCCAGTGATCAACAGCATGAGCATCGATCTGCGTAATTGGGAACCAATGACATGTGTCAACCAAGTCAGCGAGATCCCGTTAGTCGCCTCTTACGACAAGCATGGGTTACTGAAGGTTCATTCTAACCCAGACCTTCACAGGTAAGAAATCCAAGAATCAACCTGGGTCCATCTATATTCAAGTCTAGGGCACTCATGGTAATGGACTCATGGGGTCCTGGACTTCCAAGCATTTTTCACATGTCCTAACATTGCAAATGCTCAGGTTCATCTGAAGCCTAAAGCCTGTTATACTCCAGTATTATTCAGTGATTGATTAAAATGAAGAAAATCAATTAGTAACATACTGAACTATGTACATTTCTTAACAGAACAGAAGTTTTTGTTGTAAATAATGACATTCTACAATTCCGATAAATTTTAACATTGCAAATATCTATAATTTTATGTACCCCAAAGGACTTGGCAAGTACGTTATTTGCATGTATTCTCAATTTGCATGCATAAAGAAGTGATATTTTGTTTCTGTTACAACTCTGGGGATTTATCAAGTTTTAAAGTCAGTTTTTAAATGTGCATCAGCCATTAAGTATGTATATATTCAATCAATAATCTTCATCATGTTTTATTTTTTATTCATGTTTTTTTAATCATGTGTTTTGGTTGAAACCTACTGCAGTATTACAATGGCGTTAAAAATCCCATCTACAATGGCTACCATCTAATTGGAGTTGGATTAATCATAGTTAATGGTCTGAAGTTGAAATGACCCCTTGCTGTGATAACCTCTTGCATACCAAGCTTGAAACATGTCAAACACAGTACCTTATTCAACAGTACAGCAGGCACACATTACATGTAAATGCTTAATAACAATTGTTAAAGGTCACATGCAACCCAAAAATCAAACATAATTAAAACACAATTATCACTTATTCATGACATATAATATACATTGCTGGTTATGAAAAAACATAAAAACAAAATTATAAGTGTACAATCGCAAATCAAAAGGGCAATATTTTGTACTTGGGTTTACTTCCCAAGAAACGAAGCAGCCGGGATACCGAACCCAGTCAGAGCGGGTGGGTGTGTACTCAAGTGTAACGGCTGGTTCATTTCCAGATTCCCTCACGGCTCATTGAGTGTGTGTATATATAGAGATGTTGGCTTTGGTAAATACATGCTCATTTTTTGTGTATAACATTTTGCAATCAACAGACATCATAACATGTCATGTGTACAAGTATCACACCTGCCTGTCTGTGTAATTACATAAAGTGACAGAGACTGAACTCGGGCCATAAATCAATGCGTTTTGTTTATGGTGTATAGCCTGATAGGTGTTAAGTTCAAATTGCATGTGGTCAGTGATTGAAATTGTGTATTGAATATTAGCAGACGGGCAGGCAGACACATAGGTGCCAATAAAACAGACTTTGAGTTTTGTCTGTGACGACATATCTATATCACAGTTACAAATTCTGTCGATGCTAAATAATGACATTGCTTTTAAGTATCGAACTGAGAAAGTGACTCGGCAAGAAGAAAGTGTGGTGAAATAGACAAATGAAATTATATAAAGAGGTAAATCGGTAATCTACTATAATAACATATAAAAAGCTCGCGCCTGTGAAATATCAACATTACATTAGAAAAAAAGCTCACACCAAAGCCATCCCCGAATATTCACCGGACAACCCGCTTCCAAGCTCCACGAACCTATTTCACTGCGCATGTGCTATGAGCGCAGCCGAGCTGTTGAAACCACTTCAATTCCCCCAAGCGCTTGGGGAAAGTTAGTGAATCGTTTGACCTACAATTTCACTTTATAAGTTGAATTTGCATTTTTGATGATTTGTTTCGTAAGTCCATACCGAAAGGTATCAGAATCTGCAAAGTTGTGTTTTACGTTGCATGTGACCTTTAAGGTTCAATTTCGACACCAATGCTGGAATGAGCGAATGCTGTAATCGAGTCAGGAAAACCAGTCGTCAACAGAATGAGAATCAACCAATGCCATTATGCATGATGAGCGAGTGAGTTTAGTTTTCTGCCATTTTTTGGCAATAATCCAGCAATATCATGGCAGGGGACACCAGACATGGGCTTCACACATTGTGCCCATATGGGGATGAAACCTGGGTCTTTGGTGTGGTGAACGAACGCTTTAACTACTGCACTACCCCACCACCCACTTGTTCAGAAACATCAAACATTTTGATGAACCGATTCTATATCGTACATCTTTATATCAATAATTGGAAAACTGGTGGAAAATAACCACTATTAAACGAACAGGACTGGTAATGCACTGAATATGGTAAGCTATGAAATTTGATGATACACGCTACACTCTTATACAAAGAAAAACTTTAACAGTTTTAAAGCTGTTTACAGACACATATTTACTGATCGTGATGATACTGTGTGTTAATGCGAATTTATACACCATGTGTAACATAAAACTGAACACACTGTATATACTTTGAGGATAAACGTCCTCTTAAACTTCTTATAAACAGTGTAATAAATGTCCTCAGACATGATATACAGATTGTTGATAAATGTAAACACTGACTTGAAACTTCAAAAATCAAATGAATATTCATGTAAAAAATGCCCAACATTAGATGGAGTACTTACCCAGAAAAGGACATTGAAGACAAATAAGACGTATCGTAGAAACAGCAGACTGCAACAACCATTGTCCGATCGTCTATTTCGGGGTGCCATCTTGTCAGCTTAAAACTTGCAGGGAAATTGAATCCAGGAGATTTAAGTTCCAACTCAAACAGACATTGATGGAAATTCCTCAGAGATAGATGTGTGAGGAGATCTTTCCTCTTTTCAAAACGAGTTAGAACTTCCAAATTTCACAAACACTCTTAACTTCACAGAAGAGATGCTTAAACGACTGCCACTTTTTATCTGTGGGTTCCTTCAGTTGACACCGAATCACTGCAGGCAGCTGGTCTGGAGAAGAAACACGCCTGGTATGGTCCACAGGAAGTGTGGTGATTAAGCAGTGTTATTTTTCCTGGTATCAGTGAATCTTTCTCCCTGAGGTATCCTGCTAATACATATAACTGGAAGATCAGGTGCACCTCCTCTGGAGCAGCCCCAGACCAACAAGCAATGACTCCACACTATCAAGCTCTGCCTGGCGAACTGTGAGGCCAATCTGATTATTTTGTGTGGGATGTTTTCAATCTCTTGTTTTTGTTTGGGTCAGTGGCAGTGGGCTTGATTGGAGTGCTGTGTCCTGAGCTGCTGTGGGCTTGGCTGTTGATGGGTTTGGTTGACACAGCTGGTGGTGGTGAGGTCACAGGACTCAAACACATCCTCTGCAGACTAAGTCATGGAGGGGGTCTCACTGGACTGGAACAATAAGAGTGGTGGTCAGGACAAATACATGAATATACACATATACAATATACACATATACAACATACACATATACAATATACACATATACAATATATACATATACAATATACACATATACAACATACACATATACAATATACTACATACATATATACAATATACATATACACATATACACATATACATATATATACAATATACACATACAATATACACATATACATATACACATATACAATATACACATATACAATATACATACACATACAACATACACATATACAATACATATACACATATACACACATACAATATACACAATATACACATACATATATACAACATATACATATACACATATACATAACATACACATATACAATATACACATATACAATGTACACATATACACATATACAATATACACATATACAATATACACATATAATAACATACAATATACACATACACATACAATATACACAATATGATACATACACGTATACATACAACATACACATATATACACTACGATAGCTACATGCTTATACAATAATATTTAAAAGTCCAATCACAATCAACAATCCTTTATGATATCATTAGAATTATACACGAATAAATAACTCGTGGAGTAGCGAATTAACGACTATAGCTAACTGATTTACTACCCCCAAGCCAAATTAACGACGATGATTAGCGAACTCACTCAGTGTCAGCTCAGTGTCAGCTCAGCCACTTAGCGGTATACATCAACCTTGTTGGCGGCGAATCAACATATTGTTGAGATTGTTGTGATTGTTAAACATGTTCTAGCTAATGTCTGTGAATGATAAATTCAGAATTTTAATGTTATGTCAATATACATGTACAAGAATAAAGATTTGTAGCCTCAGCATATACGTGTCTCTACATCTCTACAATCCAAGATGGCGGTCAAATGTGAATAACGAACACCGGATATAGCGAACTAAATTTCTTGGTCCCTTGGAGTTCGTTATATCCGTGTTCTACTGTATATACATATACAATATACAATATACACATACACAATATACACATACACACATATACAATATACATATATACAATATCCAATATATACAATATACACATATACAATATACACATTCAAGCTGTTCCAACAGTACACTGCAATTAATGCTGTTTCATCTATTTGTACAAACATTTGCAGACAATTGCAGGAATAAATGAGTGAGTGAGTGAGTTGGTGAGACAGTTGCATAGATAATATCACCTTGGACAGAGTATCAGTCAAATCAAGACATGGGAAGTGAACAGAGGAATAACAAGATGCTTGTAGACATCTGTCACCAGGACAGGGAAGTTCAATGAGTCAGTGAGCTCTTATCAATATCATGGTGAGAGACATCAAAAATAGACATCACACACCCACCACTTTCCTACTTGCCCCCACCCCTAGACTAACAACTAGTCTCTGAAATGAACATATTTTACTGAAAAAAAATTCATAGTAAAAAAAAAATAAAATAATGAAAAGCAGCCCTGAGACTTTCTTCATTTTCAGAAGCTGAGGAAATCTAGACTTGCCACATTTTCTAGACTTGCGTGGGCTTTCTTGGATATATTTGCTTCAGGGTCTGTACGACAGACTACCCCACCCCCACCCCAAGGTTTTGAGAACAACAATCCACATTATCTGCATTAGGGGGGTCGAAACAAGGACTGGTCACCTCCATCAGTATGCTGTTTCTGAAAGGATATCCATTTTAACCTGCAGCATGGTATCTCAAGGGGACATCACTATAAAACTGACATCAGTCTCTGTGCTTCTTTAGTGAAAAAATACCATCTTATAACACTTTTTGAGCAACACAGCTGGGAATCTAGACAAACAACTAGTCTCTGAAATGAACATATTTTACTGAAAAAAGTTCATAGTAAAATAATATATAATATAATGAAAAGGAGCCCTGAGACTTTCTTAATTTTCAGAAGCTGAGGAAATCTAGACTTGCCACATTTTCTAGACTTGCGTGGGCTTTCTTGGATATATTTGCTTCAGGGTCTGTATGACAGACTACTGGGAATCCAACCACCAGCAATCCATTCAACGACCAGATGGTCTATCAACTTTGCCACATGGCCAGTCCCGGCAAGATGGAAGGTTTCAGGAAAGGTAGGTGTTGGTCTGTGCAGGAATTCTTACAGTCATCCTCTATGCTAAATATTCAGATGCAAGAAAGTCCTTATTTAACTCCCTTTCCTCTAAAATTAATAACTTTCTCAGACTTACTACCACTGAAAACTTTAACCTCCTTTTTAGAAATAATGATCCAAATAGTATAGAAATTATTTGCTACCACATGTAGAACTTTAAACAAATATAGAAGATCTGATTGTCCTGGGCCATTATTATTATTATTACACATCTGTATTATTATATGTTTTGTTGCTCACCATATATATGTGATTCATTATATATCTTGTTTATGTAGTTTATAGAATATGTCATTGTTTCTGTATGGAATGTTTGCACAATAAACATTTGATTTGATTTGATTTGAATATGTTCAAATTTGCAAAAAATGGTCACAAACTATTTGAACAAGCAAATGCACATTACACTATGACTGACTGACTGAGTTTGGTTTTACGCCGCTTTTAGCAATATTCCAGCAACATCACGGCGGGGAACACGAGAAATGGGCTTCACACATTGTACCCATGTGGGGATTCGAACCCGGGTCTTCGGCGTGACGAGCCAACGCTTTAACCACTAGGCTACCCCACCGCCCCCTAGGATAAGTGTCAGGTAAATGTCAAAATGAGTGAGTGAGAGAGTGAGTATGGTTTTATGCTGCTTTTAGCAATATTCCAGCAATATCAAGGCAGGGAACACAGTAATGGGATTCACACATTGTACCTAAGTGGTAAATCGAACCCGGGTCTTCAGCGTGACGAGCGGACGCCTTAACCACTAGGCTACCCCACCGCCCAGATGTGCTATGAGACTTGGATGAATGACAGACTGATGTCAAAATGACCAGGTAGGAAGTTGCATCACAGGTAGGCGTGGAGAGCTCATCAAATGTTGGATTAAAAAACAGCTGACTTTCCAGCTGTTGGTTCTGAGATAGCAGACAGTGCCTGTTATTGAGTTTTGTATACAATGCATCTCCAGCATGTTTAATGCATTTGGTAATAAAGTAATGAATAATGTATATTGTATGGTAGAGAAACAATCCTGTCTGACAGACCATTCAGTCTAACCTACTCAACCCAGGTGCCTGTTCTGCAACAACACTAACTATCCCCATTGTATTTGTCATGTATTTGATAAACATGTCAGTTACATGACAGGGCTAATAACACTACAGCAGGTATTTATATAAACAGTCTAACATAAGTGCTCTTAGAATCCAATAGGAAAATACATCATTATTTTGTTCAAAATTATAATTATTATATTGTCCTATTAACATTTTACTTTCATATTAAATTCAAAGCATTGATACAAGTCTAAGCATTAAAGCTTCTTATTATGTGCTTGTCGTAAGAGGCGAGTAACAGGATAGGGTGGTAAGGCTTGCTGACTTTGTTGACACGTCATCGTATCCCACTTGCGTAGATCGATGCTCATGACATTGATCACTAGATTGCCTTGTCTAGACTTGATTATTTACAGACCGCAGCCACATAGGTGGTATATAGTCAGGTGCGTTGTTAAACAACAATCAATCAATAAACTCTTCATTTGTCAAATTATAATACATGTCACCCCTACAAAACATTGGTTAATCTGTAACAGCACAACACAAAAATAATCAATTTTAACTTGGGAAATTTTACCGACATTTGTAGCAGACTCAACTTGTGGTGTTCCAATGATTGAAAATAATCAAAAATTGATCGAAAGAAGGATTAAAAATAATTATCGATTGTAAAAAATATATTTTCAATTAATCGGAATTTTGTTGGTTTAGTATAACACACTTGAATGAAGTAAACTAACCATTAAATTTGACGAATATTCATGAACAGACATGCACTCAACATCTTAAAGCTATGCGTATTCTATTCATAGTTTCGTATTCATCACTATGGTAATATTAATGTAACCCGTCTATGAATAAATTTTACGTCTATCGTGAACAACATGAGATAATACTAATAAATATTTGTTCTTGCATGTGTCCATTTCATTGCATGACCGTATTAGTTATAAAAAACATTAAATAGAAAAAATCTGGGGAAAAACCTTCAAAATATGTGATTACATTAATAATGTATATATTTCGATTATAATCGATAATCATTCACCACAAGTCCTCAGATAATCGATAGTGGATTTGGTTTCTGATTCCCAACTCTAGACTCAACATCAGCCTCTGTGCAGGTCAAGATAATCCCAAGTATACCATTACCCAGACCAGGAGACAGTAGGGAGACTCTCCAGCCCCAGTAACACTACTCTAGCGTGGGAATTACAGTGTTCATTCACAGCCAGGTTAAATGTGGGTCACATGGCCAACTGCTAAGTAAATTTGACCCAGTAAATACATCTGACATACAATTATCACTTGCCATGATCCTTGTGTCTGGCTTGAGTACCAAATCTACAATGTGATGAATATTAGGTGTGGGGTCCTGTGCATGGAGAGTCGTTGGGTGGTGTGTTTGGCAGCTTGACTCCTGAGAGTTTCTAGGACTTCAGTCCTTCCCCACAATGACTGACTGACTGAGTTTGGTTTTACGCCGCTTTTAGCAATATTCCAGCAACATCACGGCAGGGGACACCAGAAATGGGCTTCACACATTGTGCCCATGTGGGGATTCAAACCCAGGTCTTCGCATGACGAGCCAACGCTTTAACCATTAGGCTACCCCACCACCCTGCCCCACAATGAAGCACATGTGATACATGTGGTCTCACCTTAGGCAAGTGAGTTTGTTAAAAACTGCCTCTGTTCAGCCAACAGAAAATGGGTACCCGGTGAAATATAAGTCATGTGACTATAACCTTCTAGCGCCTCACAGGCAGCTTGGGTTATCCAGGGTAATAATAATAATTATAGACATTCATCCTGGAATGGCTATAAAAGTGGACCATTATTATAAGCTGTGTGTATTACTTTGTTTACAAATAAGACACAAAATCACTGAGTTGTATGTCTTGGTTGGTTATGATTAGAAAGGGAAGTGGAGCCTGCCAGCACTACGGTTGATTTCGTGTGAGGCAATGTGTTAACAGAGTAGGATTACTGCAAAGGTTAATGTGAGGTGAGGCATGGTATTACATTGCATTGGATTATCACACTTACGCAGTGACGTGGGTGAGTGTATTTTGCATGTGTTTTTGTGTGTTCATGTTTGCATCCATGCACGGTTTTACGAGACGTGCAAATGTGCATCCAGTTCGCAAAAATGTAGAAAATGGATGCAGAAACAAATTCACTGCATCATGAGGGACGGACAATATTATTTATTGTACCAACAAAACATCTATGTGTTTGGTTGTTTTTTTCAGAGCAGTTACGTGCATCATATCAGTGATTCATTTCAGTCTCTAAAAAAATCACCAAATCGTACAGTTCTCTACGACTACACCGTTACTGCAAAGACCCCTAAAACTGACAATTGGGGGTCCCAAGGACCCCTATGTTTGTGAGTCGAGGTTAAACTCTTATCTTAGTCTGTCATACAGACCCTGAAGCAAATATATCCAAGAAAGCACACGCAAGTCTAGAAAATGTGGCAAGTCTAGATTTCCTCAGCTTCTGAAAATGAAGAAAGTCTCAGGGCTCCTTTTCATTGTACTTTATTGTTTTTACTATGAACTTTTTTTCCTGTAAAATATGTTCATTTCAGAGACTAGTTGTTAGTCTACCCTTATCTATGTGCATGTGCATGTATAAGCATTTTAATTTGAAATAGATCCTGGTTTGAAATAGAGTTGGCATGGATACCCCACTCAGATTCAGTATACTGACACTGAGCCCAAAGTCCTTTTTCCCCTGTAATGCTGTTCACAAGGCAGGGAAAAAATAACTACCATCTTTTAATGCATTCTGGAATAGCGTAGCCAAAGGTCGGACGATCAAAGTTCTGACAGAAAGGAATCTCTGAATGATATATTCTCAGGTGGCTATGTCATCCTGGAGCGGCTATGTCATCCTGGAGCAGACAAATCAGTGGTCGATAGTGTGAGCTCCAACTATCTGACCATGCTGGTAGCAACTGACAGTTAACTTTCCCTGGCTATGCAACTGACTTTAAACTAAAATTATCTCTTGGTACCATTTTCAAACTAAAAATAAACAGATGGTTAAGAATTGACAGTTATTAAAGAGAGTCGGATGAGAAAATTTAAAGTTTTCACCAATCCATAGAAATATAATAATTTTAAACAATGATTAATTTTGGTCCATTACATGGGCTTTCAGTAAAAACACATGAAATTAATGTTTGTTTTTCCTTAAATTCCATTCAACTTATTTCATCTATATGACGACGATATGTAAAAAATACAGTAAAGGCAGACAATCCAGTGATTGACATAATGAGGTGAGGTGAAATTGAGTTTAACGTTGTGCTTGAGAATATTTCGCTCATTTGACGACGTGCATGCGTGTGTATGTGCGGCTGCTTGTACTAGCCCAGACAGAAGCTGGTTTTATAGTGCTAGCCCACTGAGATACCATGCCGCAGTGAAGCATGAATACCCCACTCAGACACATTATACTGACTCCGAGCCGACCAGTCCTTGTTGTACCCATTAATTCCGAGCGCCAGGCAGGGACCAACAAGTACCATATTTTAACGTCTTTGGGTATGACGCGGTCGGGAATCGAATCCGCGACCTTCCGCTCTCCGGGCGGACGTTCTAACCACTACACCACGGAGGCGGTATTGACATAATGACATCTTGGGATACAATAACATGCAACAATGGCTGTGAACGTGACCACCCTATCCCGTGACTTGCCCTTCATAACATGCCCTGTTGCCTTAGTCACTAACCCTCACCAGGATCTTCACTGATGGATGGAACTTGATACACTTGACATACATCTTCTTGATATATCAGTTTCAAAATTGATAAGGCCAAACGAAAAAATGTTGTGGTTCTGATTACACCTCTTTAAAATTTAGGGTAGGTTTGTAGGAATTTTTTTTACATTTTTTAGAAGTACAGTAAAGTACAAACTAATAACACATTTATCAATGTGTAATTGTTTATTCAATCAAGCTTGCGGCCATCATGTCGCCTTTCTCTATCAGAATGACAAATGTCCATCAGTGACAGGAATAAACAATGGTATCTTAAAGCATATTTTATTCATACCCCTTAGAACAAATAGGGTCGGCACCAGAAATCAAGGGTGGGTCGGGTAATCAGAACCACAACATTTCTTTTAACCTTAGGGGCTGAATATTGCTAAGCATGGCATAAAACCATAGCCATTCACAGTTAACTAATTACTTCAAGTAAAAATAGTATTTTCTTCAAAACACAGAAATACATAAATTTCACAAATATATCTGGCTTATCAACTTGTGAACAGAAATATGTGGCATGCAGAATTTCACAGGTTGAGCTTATGAATTTGGACAAATCCATAAGTGAATTTGAAGTCTGCAGAATCCTTTATAATCTTTGTATTAAGCAACACTGTTACACATAATAAAGCATTGCATTTAGCCGGCAAAGCTTGAATAATGGCTGTAATCATAAAGTATTTCACCTTCAGTTAGTTATTCACAGCATTAATCAATATGTTCAAAGTGCAGAAAATATGGATTTTTCATTCATGTTATAGTGAAAGCAAAACTATCAATACTTTCAACAAAAACATCAATAATTTTAACATGTGGCATTTGATAGTAACCACTTGGGTCTCACAGAGGTCTATAATCACATGCAATTGTGCACAAAATGAACATAAGCTATGAAGAAAAAACACCACCAAATGACGCTGTGTGTTGCAGTGACCATTTGATTTATTATTAAAACTAAACACTATTTCAGTCATTCATTATTGACTATTTTAGCTATCATAAGTGTATGCTTTAAGTTCATTTATCTAGAAAATGAAGAGAAATAAATCCTGAGTGAAGGAAACATAGACTAAGATTTATCATGCATCCTACTACAGCTGGTTTGTTCACTATACAATTATGTCAATTTGGACACAAAATATCTACACATTGCTCATGCTAAGTTATTCCCTTGTTATGAATGCATAACTGCATGTGCAGTCAAAAACAAATATATATCCATATCATATTACAGATTTTACATTGCTTTTTTTTTTTTTTTTATTCCTTTATCAAGCCATTTCATTTCACTTCCTGGTTTCACAAAGCACAAAAAGGAATAACAAAGATTAAGACTTTATAGATAACAACTTCTTGTGCACTGCAAAGAACAAACGTTTTAGTGTAAATTCTTACACTGGTGACAATAACCATAAGGTGAGAGGTATACACAGAATGTGACAGTAAGATTATTGCTCTGTGCAATATACAAGAAATTGTTTTCCATAAAGTCAACAGCTCCGTTATTGACTCACCAACTTCAAGAATTCCCATCAAATAATTTGCAAAATGGAATAGCTAAACTACTGTGCTGGACTGAAAACGTAAAAATTTACTTCTATATAAATAATGCAAGTTTAAAACCTAAATAACATCAATAATAATAACAATACAGCTTTATACTGACATATCACTTGATATCTCTTAAAACCACATTAACAAATACAAATATTTCCCAGTTGTCTACAAAATCATAATTTAAATTGTCCAATTTAAATTGTCCAGTAGTATCAAATTTCTAACATTGTGTCCTTAGGGGTTTTTTCACCAGGAAGACTACCAGTTTAACATTCCAAAATATGTTCATCAAACAAAAAAGCTCTGAAAAATGTAAATCAACGTTGTGATAGGTTGGTCATTTTATCCTAATCTAAACAGGCGTATTATTTTATAAAGACATATTGGGCACACTTTGGGTATATAGATTTATGTAAATCATATTTTATCATGATAATTATTTTGCATTGCGCAAAACCCAAATAAACGTTGATATCATATAATTTCGTTTTACATGCGGATGCCCAACTGCCGGCGTGACAGTCAACGAGTCAGGTTTCAAGTTCATTCATCTCGGTTCACAGCCCATACGGGCAAAGATGTCAAGTGAGCTGCATTTTGAGTTTAACAAGTGCATTAAATCAGCTGTCATTTTTCCTGACATATTATAGCAATACAAACAGAGTTGATGCAGACATTAGGTAATTGTCCGGATACACCAGTATCCGCCAACAGACCAAGTTGGCAAATTAAATGTGACGTAATTTACATCTGAAAACAACTTACTATTTGAGACAGCTGCTTGTTCGACGGTGAGCGACGGTGTAATAGGTAATGTGTGTCCCTCGTCATTGGTTGATGTGTAGGCAATAATTGATGACGTATTTCACAACCATGTGCGCGCAGTTCAGAATTTGAGAAAGACGAAAATGGCTGACGAACAAATGGAGGTAAGATTAAATTCCTGTTTTCTTGTTAAACTGTAGAAAACAACTATGATTTGGAGTTAGAGTAACACAGGAAATAACATTGTTAATGAACTGAGTTGATTATAAAGGATGATAGCGTCATTTTGAAAGAAGTTTCTTTATGATCAATAATGACATAGGAACTGCGTGCTGAACACGTGAATTCGGCTGGCAGCTTTTTAAATGCTGAGTTTTAGGGAATATTTAGTGTGTTGAGACAAAGTTTTATAACTGCTCATTGCAGCAAAGGCTTCAGGACTATTAAATCACCAAACGATACCAGTAACGTGATTTATCAACGGGAATGGCCAGAGACTTCATCAGGTGTAACTATTGACCATTTAACCAGCAAATCTGACATTGAAAGTTATATTTTGTACAAGATAGTGTGTTCAAACACGCGTGTGGCATTCATTATGTTAGATACTCATGGGTATGATGACCAATTGGAAAGTGTTAAACTATGACAAAAGTGAAAGAAATTACGACATTGCAATGTGTTCACCACAACACAAAGGGTTAACACATGGCGAAGCCCCTAATCCAGCATGGTGTTACACAGAGACTAGGACTATTAAAATTGGTAAGATTCTCAATCGTATTAAGAACTACGTATTAATGAAAGTTAAAATAACATTTTAAATATTTTTCATACCTTTTTTTCAAAATAACATGTATTTATGTACTGATAGTACCAGTAGTATGGTTCCTTGATAATCCTGATGGTTTCAAGTTTTGATTGTTTTACTTCAGGGAATTGAGAGGGTTGTTAAACTTAATTCAGAAAACCAAGGGTGCTGTGTGGTCAAGCCTTATTTATATGTGCTGTAATGTCATAACTTCTTGAAACTTAATCAGTGTTAATGTCCACAATTTTGATAATCAAGTAAACATGGTACAGGAAAATTGGATTATCTTTCAGCAAAAGCACATGCTGCTGTTATTTGTCTATACTAATGGACAGTAGTTGCATTCAGTATCCAAGAACTTTGTAGTGAGGTTGCATATACACTGGTCAAGACTGGTCTGTGCTGGCAGGATTTGAAATAAACGCAATGCAGCTATTCCGAGGCTATTGACAGTCAGGAAATGTGTTAGGTTTGTTGTGTATCCAAAGTAGATCCTGTTTGTAAAGAAGTAATAATTTTTAACCCAGACTGGCTATTGTATTTATGGGTTTGCATACCCAGTGCTTCATATTGCCAGAACTGTAAGATCATGATTGATTATGTATTCTACTATGAAAGAGTCTGGGTTTTTTTCCTTTCTTTTTGAATCATTCCTATGTTTTTGTAGATGTGACCTCAGATAGAATATCAGAGATAAGCCAATCTAGACTTGGCAAATCATTCTTAACTTGACTTGGATCCTGTAAGTTCTTGGAGACAAAGTAATATCTATGAACCTAGTGGTGACCCAAAGTTCACTGAAAACACAACCAATAAATGATTTCATATCCTTGCATTGATTACAGTACAGTGTTAAAATACCTCTGAACATATGAAATTAAAACTTGCGATAATTCCAGTTTTGAGCTTTAGAACCATCCTATTTTTCAAATTTGCCAGTCTGGAGTATTCAGTTTTGAATCCTGGAACAATATTTTGACTTTGAATGATGCTTGTGTTGCAGGCAACCCCCAGCAGTAGCAGTGGCACCACCAATGGCCCTGCAGGTCCGGTCCTACCCGCAGAGGACATGACATCCAAAGATTACTACTTCGACTCCTACGCACATTTCGGCATCCATGAGGTAAGAGAGCGGATGCTCATTCAAATGGAGTGTTGTCACAGGAACTTGCTGTTAACATGTCTTTGTGTATTATTTGGGGAGGGGGTTCTTTCTTATGATTTATCTTTATTGGGACCATGTAACAGTTGTGGCTGATTTTGGATGTTTGTTCTTGTGTGATATGAGAGTGTGATGAACGCTTGGTTTGGGTTTGTTTTGTTTTTGGTTTTTCAGGTGGGGGTTACAGTTTTTATGTTTGTCATATGTCAGTCTGATGAGGAACACTTTTTTTCTTACATCTGTTGTATGTAGGAATTATTATCACAGTTTGACTTGTTAATAGAATCGCAATTTGATCTTGAATTGACGTCCAGGAGCCCATGCTCATCATAAGAGGTGACTTACTGAATCTGAGGATCAGCCATTGTGACTTAGACTCCTTTAGAGCTGTGGATAGATGCTTACAATATTGATGATTGTCTGGCAATCACACAAATATTTTCAGGCCCCCATCCTGTGGCTGCAATATTGCAAAGCGTGGCTAAAACCATCCAATGAAAGAATATAATTTCTTTTCTCAAAACCTTAGACACTTGCTAAAAATTTGTTGTGGTTACTTCAGTTAATCTTCAATATATCTTGAACACTGTACAAAAGTATAACCTATCTATATAAAGGCAGTGCTTTTAAAAAATAAAATATTTTAGACAAATGATGTAAACATACTTTCGCATTGCAGGAAATGTTGAAAGATGAAGTACGAACCCTGACGTACAGAAACTCCATGTATTACAACAAGCACCTGTTCAAGGGGAAGACAGTCTTGGATGTTGGATGTGGAACAGGGATCCTCTGTATGTTCGCAGCCAAGGCTGGGGCTGCCAAGGTCATCGGTGTAAGTGGTCACTGTTGCATTATAGGAACTTTGAATACAGTTCCAGCTCTATGGATAGCAAACGTTGAAAATAAGTTCTACTGTGCATGCTGCTTTCTGTAATAAACCAAACCGATGAATATTGTAAGGAATATTTGATAAAATTGTGTGCTCATTGTTCACAACTAAGTACACCCCATCCAGTGATAAATCTACAATTTTTAGTGAGTCCTGGGACTCGCTCAGTTGAAAAGTAATGAGTCCTTTTGAAATTATTGTGAGTCCCTCAAACTTTACATACATACATACTAACATTTGTATAGGGCCGATGTCCAGCTCAGAAAGAAAAATATCAGCTTGTAAAACATTATTGCTACGACATATCATACCCCATTTGAAAGGTCAAATTCTAGCTACCTGTTTATAAATATGAAATTTATCTTTTATCATATTATTCAAATAATGCAACTACAACTTAAATAAGTTAATTTAAATGAAAATGCAAGCTTACACAATTATAATGTCCGGATAAACCACAAAGGAAGCCAAAAATGCGGCAATTTTTTCCCATTTGTAACATGTCATAATATCCCCTTACCTTTTTCTTTCTTTTTTTTTCATTTTTATGTAATCGGAAAATTATTATAAAAAGATTTCTCAAATAATATGTATGGTCATCTATTTCCCGTTATCAGTGCCTTTCCGCTCGGTAACGTGATACAACAGTGGAAAATACCTCCGTTTTCGAAGCTTCGTATGAATAACATATGATAAGCCGAGATGTCTCTTGAATTACACTACACGATCGCTCAATTTAGATAGAAATAGTAAGTTATCATGTATGTTTGACAACTTTTATGACTAATATGAGTACTGTTGTTGATTTTATTCTTCAGTTTATTCAATTTAATTATTTCCACGAAACATTGTTACTTTGCTGTTTGACAACTTTGATATGGACCCGCTGCCGAAGCATCTGTCCGAGAAAGCATGTATGATCAGTGAATATGTATGCATCCACAGGATGCACATGTAAAATATTTGTGCGTCCTTTCAAATTTTCATGCGTATATTACGCAGGATGCACAGGTAGATTTATCCCTGCCCATCCCAACCCACCACCCCCAAAATGAATTTGAAATTGTTTGTTCGGTATATAACATGCATTTGACTTGTTCCTGGTTTTGAAGACCTGTCTTCTCTTGTACTCTCAATCGGAGCCATGCTGCATTCTGATTTTTTGTTGTGTTGGAATATTTTTTTTACTATCGGGTTATGTCATGTTCATTCTTTTGCTCACTCATGAAGGGCACATATGAGTACCAGTAACCATGGAATTTGTTTTTTCCAGATCGAGTGCTCAAACATCATTGAGTATGCGGAGAAAATAGTGAAAGCCAACCACCTTGATAATGGTATGTGCATTGTTCCATTGTTTGTGGAGGGAGTTAGTTGGTTGGTTGTTTCACGCCGCACTCAGCAATGTTCCAGCTATATGGCAGCGGTCTGTTAATAATCGTGTCTGGACCAGACAATCCAATGATCAACAGCATGAGCATTGATCTACGCTATTAGGACACGATGACAAGTCAGCGAGCCTGACCACCTGATCCTGTTAATCGCCTTTTACAACAAGCATTGGTTACTGAAGACCAATTCTAACCCAAATCTTCATGGTCTTGTGGAGGGAGACTGGTGACCTATACTACTAGGTCTTTGTTAAAATTCCATCCATGAGATTTGAGGTGAGGTGAAATTGGGTTTAACGTAGTACTTGAGAATATTTCGCTCATATGACGACGTGCATGCTGTGTATGTGTATGTGCGACTGCTTGTACTAGCCCAGACTGAAGCTGGTTTTATAGTGCTAGCCCACTGAGATACCATGCCGCTGTGAAGCATGAATACCCCACTCAGACACATTATACTGACTCTGAGCCGACCAGTCCTTGTTGTACCCATTAATGCCGAGCGCCAGGCAGGGACCAACAAGTACCATATTTTAACGTCTTTTGGTATGACGCGGTCGGGGATTGAACCCGCGACCTTCCACTCTCCGGGAGGACGCTCTAACCACTACACCACGGAGGCGGTCCGATGAGATTTGAATTCCCTGGATGGTGCTTGTGAAATAGATTGAAAATCAGTACCTCGGTGATTAAGCTGTCATCTAATGTGTCTGTGTCCATTTCAGTTATCTCTCTTGTACGAGGCAAGGTCGAGGAAGTAGTGCTGCCCGATGGAGTAGAGAAGGTGGACATCATCATCAGTGAATGGATGGGCTACTGCCTGTTCTACGAGTCAATGCTCAAGACTGTAATCTTCGCCAGAGACAAGTGGCTGGTAGGTGACATGGACATTATAGGTTAATGTTAATTTGTCAGTACCAAATTGATCGTTTTCATGTAGACTGTGAGGAGGGGCGAAAGTTTGAAATTAATACAGGACTATTACAGTACAAATACATATGATATTTAGATTTTACTAAGTTTGAGCATTTAGTACACCAGACTAGTTGAAATTGTGGATAAGAATGATTGTCTTTTTTAATAGGTAATTGTATTATTTTTTTTCCATTCTTGCCATTTTGAGAATATCCCACAGGATTACAAATGTTATCTGCAACAAATGAATGTATTTTTCACTTCTGAGCTTTAACTAAACATCACATGATTTAAAGTGTAATTCTGAGTTGCAGATAGGTTGCTTTCAATGTGTTGGGGTTTTTGTGTGTGTGAGAAATGTAGAGACATGGGTTTTGAATACGTTTTAGTTGTCTTAGGGCAACATGTATAAGTTGGGGTCAGTAATGCTTTCTGGTACAAAAGATTTCATTGTTCATCCTTGAAACGTTGCATATGTGATTAGATCTCAGGGCTTTCAAAGAGACCAAATCTATTTATTTCCAAATGAAGGAATGATACTGTTCTTGTTTCTTTATATTTATGTATGTTTCCAGGCACCAGGAGGTTTGATCTTCCCTGACAGAGCAACCCTGTACATTACAGGAATCGAAGACCGTCAGTACAAGGATGAGAAGATTAACTGTGAGTTAGGCCTGGTCCCCAGTTTGAGGGGTTGTTCCCGGAGGGAGTGGGGTTTTTTGTTCCTGGTGTGAGGGGAGCTGTTCCTAGAGAGACGGGGGTTGCTAGAGGGAGTTGGTTGTTCCTAGAGGGAGGGGCTTGTTCCTGGGGGGAAGAGCTTGTGCCTGGTGCTATGAGACCTGTCTAAACTGTTACATCAGGTCCTTAGGTCAGACAACACACATCATTTTATACATTTGAACAGATTTCATATGTATACACAATCTGTGATTGGAGTCCCTCGTCCAAAGCATCCAGTAAATTGTCTTCCGTTTAGAACAGTCTTGATAGTAGTCATACTGTGACATTATACACATGGCATCATATCTCAATTGTGTGGATCGATGCTCATCATGTCAACCACTGGATTGTCCAGACTTGGATTATTTTCAGAGCACCATCTGTTGGCTGGAATATTGTTGATTGCAGTGTTGATTCAGCAAACTTTCCAGTGTTAAACAACAAAAACCTCAACAATACACATGTCCTACAGATCCAACTTTGTTGTGGTCCCGGGCGGTGGGGTAGCCTAGTGGTTAAAGTGTTGGCTCTTCACGGCGAACACCTGGGTTCGATTCCCCACATGGGCACAATGTGTGAAGCCCATTACTGGTGTCCCCTGCCGTGATATTGCTGGAATATTGCTAAAAGCGGCATAAAACTAAACTCAGTCAGTCAGTCGTTGTGGTCCCAATGTTTTCCTTGTTGTATTGTATTGTACCAGGGTTGTATTGTTCAAGGGTTTTATTATTGTATTGTTTTAAGGTTGTATTGTACCAGGGTTGTATTGTTGTATTGTATTGTTCCAGGGTGGGACAATGTCTATGGATTTGACATGAGTGTCATCCGAAGTGTAGCAATCTCCGAACCCCTTGTGGACGTGGTTGATCCCAAACAAGTTGTCTCAAATTCTTGTCTTATAAAGGTAAGCAATACAGTGTCACTTTTTGTCTGCAGAACCTCTAAAACTCCATCTCTTGGATTACATAAAAGTTCCATATTGAAGTTATTTCAACTTTAAGAGAATTAGAATTAGTTAAAACAAATATTTACTTGCTGCCATGACAGCTGTAGCATTCAAATCTGAAGCGAAAAACTTTTGACTATGGCTGGAGAGTGACGCTCTGTGTTGGCACATTTCAGTTGATTTAGGCCAGAAATCTGACCGAATGTTTCTTTTTTATCATATGGGTAAGCACTGCATTTTCCTGTAGAGTTACTGCCCTTAGTTGTGCTGCATCAGTATGATGTATCTAATTATTGCTTTGTCTGGACTCGATTATTCACAGGTCACCGTCATTTAGTTGGAATATACTTGAGTGCAGAATGAAACAACATGCAAACAAAATCTTGCTCTTTCAGAGAGCTGATGCTTGGATTTCCATGTTTTGAAGGTTAAAAATCCCTTGCCTCCAAGAAATGTGACAATTAAACGTTGATTCATTCTGATGTTTTGGTGATTTCAGGAAGTTGATATCTACACAGTAACAGAGGATGACATGACCTTCACCTCACCGTTCCACTTGCAATGTCGGCGTAATGACTACTGTCACGCATTAGTCACATTCTTCAACATGGAGTTCACAAAATGCCACAAGCGAACAGGTTTCTCCACAGGTGAGTTCAGTATATGAGGAATCCTGTTTCACATTGCTGTGGTGACCATGACATGTATTGTTGATAAATTAAAACAGCATGAAAAAGATGTGGCCAAGATTGGGTTTTGTTGTGTAAGTTATGAATTCTTTTGCAAAAGATGTGAGAGTTCCATGCTTGCCTCAATTAAGTTAGGTATTACTACGTTGACATACAGTATTTAGTCTTGTCAGGTTGTCTGCAGCTGCAGAAACTTATGAAAAGTAACAGCTTGATCTGATGGGGTCTTTGCTCTTGTTAAAAATCTTACGATTAGATACAAAACACTGCACCCAGCCTGGCTAAATACTGAATAAGGGAGACGTGATGCCTATTTAAGTAGTACTCCGCTAATATCATGGCGGGGTACCCCAGAAATGGACTTAACATAACCACATGGCCACCCCAATGCTGTAACCACATGACCACCCCGCTGCCATCTACCCCACAACATACGACATCCATTGGCCCAAGAGTGGTAAGCTAGTGTTCTGTGTTGTTTGAACGGTGTTGTCCTGTTGCAGCACCTGAGGCGCCATACACCCACTGGAAGCAGACAGTGTTCTACCTGGGAGAGAACGACCTGACCATAAAGAAGGGGGAGGAGATCTATGGAACGTTTTCCATGACACCTAACAAAAGCAACAATGTGAGTAGCAAGGATTCTGTGTTAGAACTGGTCCCTAGCAACGTCATTCTCTTCCCACAGAGGCTACTTGTCATATCTTCCTACGAACCTCTGTTCTAATACAGCCCTTTCATGGTGCGAGTGTTCAGGATTCGTTATTGGTTGCAATCAGATTTAGTTCTGCGTTCAGCGATGTTGTTTCAAAAGTGATCATTCGCAAGGCCTCGATAATTTCTGTATGCTTCGGGAAAACTAGAACCTCTTCCCCTGCGCGATGCGCAAACGTTTCTTGTACTCAAGTCATGTAATGGCGGATCAATGGCATCTCCATCGCCCTCGTTGACAACGGACAAGCTAGCCATTAAATGTCTTGTGTGTCACATCAACACAATTCCCTGCTGATGAGGGACATTTGTGGCCCCACATTTGTTTGTATTAGTAAAGCTGGATCTAAGTCGTCGTAACACGTGTTCTGATTGGATAAAAAGAAGGGAGATAATTCGTGTTGTGACTTTTTGCCGCTAGGGGATTTTATGAGAACCGGGAAGTATGGCCGTATTAGAACAGAGGTTCGTAGGAAGATATGACAAGTAACCTCTGTGGGAAGAGAATGTAGCAACGTATGCTTGAGAGGATTGTTAGTCCCAAGCAACGATGCTTGAGATTGTGTGTTAGAATGGTCCCAAGCAACATATGCTTGATAGGATTGTGTGTTAGAACTGGTCCCAAGCAACGTATGCTTGAGAGGATTCTGGCTTAGAACCTCCCCTTGCTTATCTTAAGAGGCAACCAAGTGGATAACTTGTGCTGGTTGGGTGTTTACTTTCCTAGTAGCATAAATCCATGAACATCCAGGTTACCAGAGTAGGTCTTCACCAACAAATGCTTGTCCTAAGAGGCGACTAACAGGATAGGATGGCTAGGTTTGCTGACTTGTTCGACACATGTTGTCATATATCAAATGCATACATCGATGCTCATAATATTGATCATTGGATTGTCTGGTCGAGACTCAAATATTTACAGAAAATCTGTCACAGATCTGGTATATTGCTGAGAGCTGTGTTAAACAGTGAACAAATCAAATGTAGTCATTCATGCTCACCTGACAATTTCTTTTGTTTTTGTTTCAGAGAGATCTTGATTTTGTAGTTGATGTGGACTTCAAGGGTGAGCTGTCTGAGATGTCTGACACATTAAAATACAAGATGCGCTAGGTGTTTTTAAGTATATGAACTGGTTTAGAAGCTGCTGATGCTGCCTTGGAGGAGAGGGAGGGGCAATGAAATTGGAACTCCATCATGATGTTAGAGACTCCGTTATCGATGTGCTCTTGCTGCTGTGGTGTGAATAACGATTGACGTTGCGCCAAAAGTAAAACCAGTGAGATTTTCTCCCAATACCGGAGCACTACATCAAGTTAAGCATTGCGTTGCTCGACGGATCTGTCATGTCATGAAGCGTGACTTAACAGCTATAACTGTTAAATTTGATTTTTGTGTAGGGATTACATTGAAATGTTTGTGAATGTATTTTGGTGGAATTTGTTTTTCAAATCATGCTTCAGACAAAACTGAAAAAAATATGGGAATTGACATGGTGTCCCATCTTCTGACATAATCAAACACGCTTGCTTCATTCCTGTACATTTGGGAGAATTCAATTTGTTTTTCATATCAGTACATTCTGGGAATCGAGGGAAGCTGCTTTCCGTGACAACAGAAGTAGCCACTATTTTTAACAGATAGTTTTAATGTAAATGAAGAAAGAGTGTCTGCATAAAAACAGGTTTTCTTGTTAGCATTAAGAAACAAAAAAATATCAATTTGCATTTATGTATGTTTAGTATTTTAAGCCTTTACATGTCGCCATCATCTCATTTGATGCTCATTGTCAACACTGTTGCCAAGGTAACGAACTGGGGGAGTGTATAGATGTTCGAAGCATATTTTCAGATAACATTCTGTGCTGTTATGGAGGTTACAAAATGAATTTAACATGTGTCTTTCAGATTCAGATGATTATAGACTAGACATACCATCTCAAAGAATGTTAATTTGACTATATTGCTTTGACACAGCCCCTCTTGTTACTTGGCAACAGTATTAAGCGCATGTCATAACTTTCATGATTTCAAAAATATTTATCACTGTAGGCAAACAATAAACAGTGTCACTTGTTATGCTTGGTAGAATGTCCTATTTGAATTTGTTTTACTAAATCTGGATCTATTGAACTGATTGGCTGTTGGTATAGTGACTCTCTGGCAGTTGCACAGTCCTAGAATACATGTACAATGCGTGTAAAAGTTGGAGCCACAATTAACAGGAGTCCAGGCCATCAGGCCAAAAACTGTTGCTGTGGCTCCTGAAATACAGCACTGGAAGTGACAGTATTGTTATGTAGAACTGAAAGGACAACATTTTGGTGATTGAAAATCATCTTGGAGATCGTTTTTGTAAATGGCTGTGCTAGATCTGTTTCAACATTTCACATAAAGTCACCAGTAAACAACCAAAGAAACTCGCACACTGTGTCGTGTTATCTCTTTCACAGAAGTATCCTGGGTTCAGTTCTTATTCCGCCCTGACTCTGGTTCCAGGTGTCTTCGTTTAAGGCTGCACTCTGAAATGTTACATATATCTGGCGAAGGTCTAAATAAGTTGATCAGACAATCCAGTGACTGACATCATCAGCATCGATCTTCGCAATTGGGATACAATGACCTCTGTCGGCCAAGTCTTCAGCACCATACCCATACTGAAGATGTTTTGACCTGCATCACTTTGGACCTTCCTCTTATTTCTTGCAGATACCCTATCTCTACTCCATCATTTACAAAATATAACTCCACTTCTTGGCCCTTTAAATTTCTGTTTTGGGAAGGTCATATGCCCCTGTCTTGAATGTGGACCAGTTTGAGTCCCCTACAGTGAACCTGTTTCTTTTGAAATGTAGATAAATGTGAAGGTCATTGTTGTGATTCCACTTTCCTTGAGGTTCCACTACACTAAATCAGTATCACATGCTCCCTGCGCCAGAGCCGTATGTAATGTAAACAAGTGAAGAGAGACTGAGACATGTGACAGCTGTGATTGGATGAAATAGTGTAAGATGTTTGTTTTTTAAAAGTACATCCAACCAGTAATAAAACTGACCACAGTTTTAAGTATTTAGTGCTGTCATATTTATCACCATCACTTATGCTTATTGTGTGTACAGATATTTTCCAGTAGGTGACATTTGGTGCGGAACTGGGGTTGATGTGTTCCGCTTCTAGTGCTCGCAAAACGAGCCGGACAAGTTGGCCTGATATTTGTTTTATGGTAGTTTAAAGGCCAGAGTGTACCCATGTGTACATGGAATTGCTGTTGATAGCCTGGATATTGTTTTGAAAAATATAAGGTTACTATAGAAGTCTATGGGAAAACATTTGGTGGTGTGTAACCTTGATCATGGAACAAGCTTCAGACCAGTTGTTAGAGTTATCTCCCTTCAGCGTGACACGGTCGGTTGTTGCTCAGTTTGTTAGGTCTTTGATTTTGATGCCGCTCTTGGCAATATTTCAGCAATATAACGGCAGGTGACACCAGAAATGGGCTTAAGACATTGTACCCATGTGGGGAATCGAACCCCGCTTTAACCACTAGGTTACGCCACCGCCACGTAAGTCACTAAGACCTGCTGTGGGGTAGGCTGGTGGTTAAAGCATATATGGAGAATACTAAACGATGTCCCCTGTAATACCATATTTATGAAACGAGTGAATGGTTTAATATCTAACTCGCTTTTGAACCGCCTACGTGGTGTAGTGGTTAGATTGTCCGCCCGGAGAGTGGAAGGTCGCGGGTTCGATCCCCGACCGCGTCATACCAAAAGACGTTAAAATATGGTACTTGTTGGTCCCTGCCTGGCGCTCGGCATTAATGGGTACAAGGACTGGTCAGCTCGGAGTCAGTATAATGTGTCTGAGTGGGGTATTCATGCTTCACTGCGGCATGGTATCTCAGTGAGCTAGCACTATAAAACCAGCTTAAGTCTGGGCTAGTACAAGCAGCCGCACATACACATACACACGCTGGCACGTCGTCATATGAGCGAAATATTCTCAAGCACGACGTTAACAATGTAACTCAGATCACTTGGAGAAAATGTGTTGTGGATACGGACGCTATATTTTCGTTATTTTATATTCTGGTGAACCTCACTATTCCAATTCAAAGTTCCCCAATGAGAACGGATGCGCTTTGGTAGTTTCACAATTTATAAGAAAAGATGACAACGTATTACATTTGAAAGCACGTAATAGCGATTTGAATGGCCTATCCGATATATAAGTTAGTTCTTAGATTCCCATATTCTCCTGTTTGTGTAGATGTAATTTGACTAATTTTGCATCGTTATTACCAGAGTACTAGCCATATCTTCAAATGTAACGAAATTGCTGAAAATAATACAACATTTTACTTGACGTCATCGCTTGTTTTATGCATTTTGCGACGTCGGAAAACGACGACATTGGTATGCTGATTAGTATATATCTCACTTAATTTCCATTAATTGTATAAAAGGTCTAGACTTCTATGTCAGAATTTTACACTCTTTAGACAAAACATAAAATGACTGATTTTTCCATTTAAATAGTGTCCTGAATATATCAACAATTAGACAGTTTGACAGCGTATCTTATTGTGACCAACACGCGCACCTGTTTGGCATCAATTTAACGTAAATAAAAATAATATTTCACAACACCCGAACATTTTGTTTGGGATAAAATTTTGTTTGTTTATGATTATGAAGCTATTTCTCTTCATACGTATGCAATGACAGATGCATAAAGATAGCTTTTGATATATGGAACTATATATTAGAATATGGATATAAGATTTGTCCGAATTAACACATGAGATGGTATATATATTTTTCAACAATTTTCCTATGAGTAGTTAGAGTTTGATATCCTGTCATCACAATATTATTTAATCGAATATGAATTGAATATATTATCGAAAACAATGATAGAGAATCATAAAACGTTGCCAACAAACGCGCACCTTGCCGATCTATATGCATCATTCTTTTGTCTATAAAACGACACAAAATTATGCAATGAGCAAGAACAATTCCTTTAAATATGTGTGCATGTACATTTCATACCATATATAAATAATTGTCATTAATATTATCAGTTTTGCGTATAAGGTTGAATCATATCACCGTTCATTAACCTGTTCATATGAAATTGCAATATTAGTCCAAATAAATTGAATATTGTACATCATAGGAACTAAAGTAATTGCAGTTATGGCTACGTTTGATCTTCTAACACTTGTGTAAAGGTTTAAAATATGGTGTATTGCAATAAATATGTCACTTTCTTATGTAAATATGATTCAAACAATCAAAACTTTCAAAGAATAAAACACCGTAAACCCTATATGCATGTATGATATGATATTGAACAAGGCTAAATGTAGATACTGAAGTCAGTTTCATGAAAAAGTATCCGAACTATGCGCAAAATATACATCATAATACTGACAGTGTAATCGGAAGGATATGACGATTGTGTTTACTCTTGTTCAACCGACCTTCACCTCAAAGAAATTGCCTAATATGTACAACAATGTTGACGTATGACATCACTACCGCTGACCGATTTCTTACAAAATGGCGGCTTTGCTGACAAAGGGTACACAGGATTTTGCGAGGACCTTTCCACTGATTCAGGGATCGTTTGTACATAAATATGAGATGTAAGTAATCAGAATGATTCTGACTATCTGTGTATTGTTATATGTTTTATCTTTTCACTATACGTAAGAAAAGGACAGAAATGCAGATAATTACCGTTGTCGTTCTGCGTGATTTGGCGTCAGTCATGGCGTCACGCTGCACGGAAACTTTGACAATTTCTTATGAATTATCAAATCATTGCATTGTATCTATTTATAATTTCCTATTTCTTGCTACGATACTCTTTCCATGTATATTCTAAAGGTATTGAGCCAATCGCAAGCAATGAATAGACGGATGAATGTTGAAAAATTTCAGAAAATGCTACGCAGTGTAAAATCGGAATTTGTCTTTGTTTACATTTCACACAAACGCAGTCTTTCCACATAGAAATAACCGTGTGTTGTCGCTGTGCCGAGTTTATTTGAGCGAGACGTTATGAAAACTGCATACATTCGTCTAAAATGTACGTCAAACAGCATCGGCGTTACTCACAATGTTCAAAATCCACACTGTAAAAGTTCATTCATTTCCCGTTATGTCTATGTAAATATTTTATGGCATGGATTCATTATGCGTAAGAAATAGCTCGTAAAAATGTAGAATATGTATTTTTTACAGAATTTCCACGGCAGCCATTTTTTGTGCATTGCGCATCGGGTCATTCGGGCGTCTCGTTAGATTGTAAATTTGCAGTAATAAACAAAACGAAAACATGTTATGGAAGCTCGTTTGATTCACAATTACCATGTTGAAAATGAAATATGTAGCGGAAATAAAGCCAGCGAAATCGTCGATTACAAATTCGTTGAAGTTTGTATGACGCCATTTGGCCCGTAAATTGGTTACACTGCAACGTTTTCCCATGGATGTCTTGTCGGAAAACGCTTATAAATGGAAAAACTGTTCGTGATATATGAATGAAATCTTATACCTGAAATCTGCAGTTAATTGCCTTCGTTATCATATAAAATTTGACGTAAAACATAATCTGAAAGATCAGTATTGACGTTTTTCATGAAGAGGGAAACGAATCAACAACTCAGAATCTAAACTGAACACACTGCTGGATTTTTTTTCGGTGCAGTAAATCTATATTCTTAGCGGCCATTATTCACTTGAATGTTTAAAAAGGGTATTTCATCAAATGTTGAAACAATCATGCCCCCATGAATAGTTTTTCTTTTACTTCTTTGGCACCCACAAGCATTTATTACGGTCCCTGTCAAGTCGTTGCTCAAAACACTCCTACCGTGCGATGGCGGACACGTCGACGAAATTTGCATACAGACGAATGAAAGAGTTAGTCTCGTATCTACATGATTAGTGAAAGACGTGTTTATATTTTCATTTTCATTTAAAACCATTATGGTAAACACAAGTAGAAATGTCACAACAAATAGAAAATTACTTGAAGCAGAAATACTCAGAAAGAGCTATTGTCTTGTCGACAGCTTTGCATATTTAAAAATGTCGCCGACAATGTTCAGCGGTGTGTCGGAATTCGGATTTACTTTATTTGGTCCTGTAGTGTTTTATTCAGTTCGACAGCAACCGAGAAGGTAAGTGCCAGAACCTTATGTCGTAATCGTGGGGTAAATGTGAGGGATTTGGCTGGGTAATGCATGGAATCTGCCATACTGTGGTACTTTGTACACGATAAACGCAGTGACCTCAACGTTCTAGACGTTATGCTTAGGTTAGGTTTCCAGTTTTCAATTCCCGTCACTTTGTGTTGCTATCATGCAGTAAGAAAGGCATACATCGCAATGTTATTGTATTACCTGATATGTGTGCAGTCAATTTGATTTAATTGTGAGTTGGTATTTCGTGAATGTTGAAAATTTGGTCGAAATGAAGATCTGAGTCTGAACCGTGTGAAACATTTTGTTGATATATTTCTTTCAATCCATGGTCGTGTTGTGACCTGTTTATGTCCATCGTACACTTAGTTGACATGGTGACATCATTTCAGCGGGCAATATCAAATTAAATTATTGTTTAACTATGCATACGTGTTAATGTTTAAATGATTTGATAGGAATTACACGAAAGTTTACGCGCCTGAAAAAACGGGCGTGAAAATAGTTCGCCGCGAATTAGATGTCTTCTCTTAGGTCCGCGCCTGCTCGTGACATTTACCGCACAAATTGATTTGGGTTACGTTATTTCAGTTTCAAAAGTGACATTTAGATAGGTTATGATAAAACTGATGAAAACCAATAACTATTACTGAGTATTTGTTTTTAAAAAAAATCACAAATTCGAATGCGTATATCAGTGAGTAAAGATTTATACAAAATTTCACCTTTATTAATCCCACAACAAGCCATGTGTATTAGTAGTTATGTATTATGGAAATAGTTATAAGGCAATAAAAAACATTTCAGTCATAACAAGAAATTGGTATCAAAGGTTACAAGTGCTCATATCTTAGACACTCCATGAAAGAAGACTAAAATTCTGTGAAATTATTTTAAGAAATTGTATTAATCCACTATATATAAATAAACCTGTCATCACCTATATTAATACAAAATAAAGGTAATACAGTACTTTCATTTACACTTGTTAATAGTTATTGTATATTGAAACGTCACAATCTCCTTCCAAGCATCCAGTGAATGTTTCAACATTAGTGTCAGTTAAATCAGGTTATGGTTTTGTTATGATTATCTGTGACCACCTTAACTGTATTTATTCCTATTCCTGTATATAAATTGTTATATTCTTGTGCACTTTTGAACCATAATACAAACATGAATAATCAGATAAATTGGAATATATTGTTATCATTGACTTCTTTTACTTCATATGAGTATATGTTTCAAACATGAAATGTAATTAGGGTAGTTATATTACTTGTTAAATTACAGATAAAAACATTTCATTACTGAACAAGGAATTAGTAATTGAGGGTGTTCCAGACTCCTGGTTTTTGAGTAATTTGAAACTTTGCATGAGGTTGTTATTCAAATGTGTAAGTAAAAAAATTGTGTGTAAAGTACAATTTTCAAAGTATATTTTAAAAAATAAAATATAAGTTACATGTATTGTCACAAAGTATCCATTACAATAAGTATTTTCCAATAATAGAAATAGACGACCATACATATTATTTGAGAAATATCTTTATAATAGTTTTCCGATTGAGTAAACATGAAAAATAGAAAAGAAAAACGTAAGGGGATAATTATGACATGTTACAAATGGAAAAAATCGCTGCATTGTTTGCTCCCTTCGAGATTTATCTGGACAATATAAATGTGTAAGCTTGCATTTTCATTAAATATGAACTTATTTACGTTGTAGTTGTGTTATTTGAATAATATGATCATATCCATCTGTCATGACTGAATTAAACTATGCCAAAACATATTGTGTGTTTGTTTGTTATGATACCACACCTCTGCCAATACTGCTTGACTAAGTCAAATTAATTATTTGGTTTATAAAAGATTGAAATTTGAGGACTACCAAAATTGTGTGAGGACTAGTAGTTTGGTGAGAGTCACTAGTCCTCATGGCTAGTAGACTTTTCAAAGAGATTTCTAACCCTGCTCATTCTATCCCGGACCTTCAGGGGTTAAAAGTATGTTTTAGTAACAGTTGAGATTGGCATGTGTTTTCTGGTTCATTCAAAAGTAAAGTTCTCACAACTTGTAACTTTAGTTCTAATCAGATGTATAAGACAATGAAAAGAAATCTCTCATTATATACATATTTATTTACATGAAAGACATTTGGTATAAATAGATATTATACAATAATTCGCCGTGATTTTGCTTCAATATTGCAAATACGGCGTAAGTCATATTCTCACAATCAGATAATATTAAGGATATTTACAGGCACTACATTTGTATACAATAATTCGCCGTGATTTTGCCTTAATATTGCAATTACGGCGTAAGTCGTACTCTCACAATCAAATAATATTGGCGATATTTACAGAAAAAATGTATATACAAAAATTCGCCGTGACTTTGCTTTAGTATTGCAATTACAGCGTAAGTCATACTCTCACACTCAAATCACATCAAGAATATTTACAATCAATAAATTTATATACAATAATTCGCCGTGACTTTGCTTTAGTATTGCAATTACGGCGTAAGTCATACTCTCACACTCAAATCACATCAAGAATATTTACAATCAATATATTTATATACAATAATTCGCCGCGACTTTGCTTTAGTATTGCAATTACGGCGTAAGTCATACTCTCACACTCAAATCACATCAAGAATATTTACAATCGATATATTTATATACAATAATTCGCCGTGACTTTGCTTTAGTATTGCAATTACGGCGTAAGTCATACTCTCACACTCAAATCACATCAAGAATATTTACAATCAATATATTTATATACAATAATTCGCCGTGACTTTGCTTTAGTATTGCAATTACGGCGTAAGTCATACTCTCACAAAATTTATGTACAGTGGACTTAAGCACACAGATGGGGAAACTGCCTGAAGGGATGATATGCCAGTACATACAGCCGTTCACTCTTCAATGTGAGCGGCTGTGTGATACTGGCTGAAACAGCGGGCACAGAGGCCTACAGTGCAGTCAGGACACCAAGTCCTGACCTTCCCTGCAGAGCCATCTGTGGTCCTCTGTCGTTTTCTACAGAGGACACACTGTTTCCTCTTCCTTCCAGGCAGCACTTCGATGAAGTGGCGTCCGGTCAGTCGTCGGGAAGGAGGCTGGGTCCTTGGTCTGCCAGTCCTCCTAGTCACATGAGTGTTCCCGACGAGTGAGTGGAGAAGGGACATGTGGAAGTCCAGACGGGGGGTCGTCCTACCATGGGTGTTCATGAAGGTCTGATAGGCATTAACTGTAACGTAAAGATAAGAAACATTGAAGAATTATAGTGAATAATCACTGGAAAAGCTCATTCTTGATGAATCACTATAATCAAAATATATCGGAAGTGGTACCAATTAATATTCAATAACTCTATTTTTTTTAAATTGTGTCATCAGCAAGTACACTTTGAGAGCAATAGCAATAATTATATGAACAGATCCATTATTACCTTATTGATGATAAGCAGACACTACAGTATAATACCAATGAGTGATGATTATGAGTTCTATGGGAAAAAATTTTCTTACCTGAAGCTGTGAGAAGAAAGTTGATTAAAATTTTCTTCCACAGCTTCACGGAGCGGACTTGGGGATCATATACAGCAATGAGTTGATCCCCAAGGTCAACTCCCCCCATCAAGGTGTTGTATAGTCTTACGACTGAGGGGAGAGTGACAGACCGGCCCCGTGAGTTAAGCCCATCTTCCATTCTGTAAAGAAAACATTACATGTTAAGAATTCAAGAATCATGTCAGTAAATTCAAAACATCTTCACAATAAAATTGAGGTATTTCACACTCATAAAACTGTATCATGATATTATGTGCTTGAAAGATAACCACAAGTAATAGAAATCATACTGACTAAACTGCCAAACAGGATATTGAAAAGTTTAAAATACTATATACCTTGGACTACCCATGGTAGATAAAATTGTGAAGACCCTCCTGTCTGAAAAGAGCACTGCCAGCAGTGGACCCTGTCTTCTCACAATTGTCGAGCCCCTGGGTGGTCTTTTCCCAACAAAGGAGCTCGGCATTCCCTTCCTCCGGACGGCGACAACTCCTGTGCAGAACGTCTCCCTGTCGAAGAGATCATGGCAGAGAGACGGACTGCTGAAGAAGTTGTCACAGATGATGTGGTGTCCCTTGTCGAGATGCGGTTCCATCAAGTCCATGACCACACTGTGCCCAAGGCCTGCCCTGGGTGGTGGTCCTCCAAGGTTCCTGCCCTTGTAGATCCGGACTTGATGGGTGTATCCAGTACCCGCCTCGGCAAGGATCCACAACTTCACTCCCCATCTGTGTGCTTTCTTGTTGGGCATGTATTGAACAAGATGATGTCGTCCCTTAAAGCCAACCATCCTTTCATCCACGCAAACACTCTGGGCCAGCCTGAATAATGTGAAAGATCTTGATGCAAACATTTCAATATTTATGCAATATAAGGTTCATGTCATCATTAAATTTCATTTACCGGTAGTCATTTACTTAGATGGGCTTTCATGGATATATTGACTATGTCTAGACACCATGTCATACATTTCATCCTAAAAATTGTTAAATTTAAACTGGAAAATTTAAAATAGCTTACCGGTGAGTGTTTGCGAAGGATCCATTCACAAGATCAAGGACCGGCCTGATCTTGTGGAGGGGGTCATGACCTGGCTGCCCTCGGGGCACTGCAGCAGAATTGTCATTGCAGTGGAGGAACCGCATGATGATTTGGAAGCGGTTCCTCGACATGGTTGCCCCGAAGGAAGGTGTTGATGCCAGCCAGTTCTTGTCCCCCTCATTCCAGTAGGATGAAATGGTTGGCTTCCTGACGACACCCATGCCCAACAAGAGTCCAAGAAATGCCCGCATTTCTTCCCGGTCAACGGGTCTCCAAGCCCGAGCCCTGCTCTGCGGCGATAGAGTGCGGCCCTGCAGGTACTGCTCTGCATACCTGTTTGTCTCCCTGACCAGCAGGTCGAACAAATCAACACCTCCATCCCCTCCTCCCAGTTGTTGATCAAAATATTTGATAGGAGGGGCATCTTCACCTGAAAATTATATCATTATTTGTATCTAAACCTTTATCATTATTACAAACCATTATTGATCATATCTTCGCATTTTGTCTACAATCAAAATCTTTCATAAACATTCATACATACCTATATCTTTGATAGATACCAGCATAATGTCAATAGTATTCAATTGATATCCACATTTATACCTGAACATGTGTAACTTTGCCACATACCAAATTGAAGGATATAACAATTAAGTTATTTCTTATGAATTGTATTGCCTATGTTCATTAATGAATACATTCATTTTATGATAAATCATGTATGTTAGTATGTCATTTATTTGTTTAATGTACTGTTGACATGACTACCTGGAGGGTTGACAGGGCCGCAGTCCCCGGCAAAGTCAATGTCATTGCCGAGGTCAAAGCTGTCTGTGTCCAGCACAGGCAGCCAGGGGCCACGAACCATTGGTTGGGCCCCTCTTTCTTCTTCATCTTCTTGAAGTTCTTCATCTGAAAGTTGTGATAATTTTTTGCATCAGTGGGGTACTAAAAAAATGTAATATGTACCAGTGTTCTCAATTAAATATTAAAGGAAAGATTTATTTTCATTTAGAGAGTGTTTTCATGCAAGTAACACAGGAAAATATATTAATGGGCTTATGACACATGCTCATATAAAGCATTTCCCAGATTGTTCACAATACTTTCTTAATGGGGCAGGTAATACACCCTATATATAATGTGACACCATTTTGATTTTTCAGATTAGATATCCTAATATCATTGGGAAAAATATTATCATTCTTTACTCTCCCTAGTCATTCCTCGTTGAAAAAATAATTTGACTGTACTGAATACTGCAGCATTTATTTCTCAGTGCTTCATACAGTGAGAATTAAAGCTCAACAAGTGTTGGATGATGGATTTTCATATTGTTAGAGGGGAGATAATGCAATTCTTTGTGTACTGTATTACCTCCCTTAGATATACAAATTATATTGGCAGATTATCTGAAAGATGTATAATGATGCTACTGTATTGCACCAGTGTGGTTTCTAATGATTTTCTAATATGATGTTGTGATGGTCATGGTGGAGAATTAGCTCAGCAAAGAGTCTGAATTCACCAGAAGTATATTGTCTTAAATATTTACAAAAAAATAAAAAGGGTATGACCACATAGTTATTAAACCCCTCTGGGCTGTGGCCTACAGCTATTCTGTTTTAGGTAGTTTCAGGGTTCCCACAGGCATGGCAGGTAAAAATTCCCTGACTTTACCCTGACAAGTATAGATTTTCCCTGACCATGTAAGTGTAAAAACTGGCCTCCTCCCTCCCTTTCAGTCAGTCCTAACCACCGTGTTTGCGTGTTAAGATATTTCCTTCACACATATCATAAATACACATAGTATTTGTTAATTTATTACATTAACCAAAACATTGATATTTGGGATGAAGAAATTTTTCCTTGACTCTCCTGCCATAATGTAAGATAATACTATTAGATACATTTGACTGTGACCATGAAATATATATTCTCACTTGATGTCAGTAATATATCATCTGAAAACTTTGTATTTTATATCAAGGGCATTTGACAAAGAGCATAAATGTGAAACTAATGATTTAATTGAATTTTTTCATTCAAAGTCAGGAACACATTTCTTCATTATCACAAAATGTTGTAATTATCAAAGGCGTATTTGGAAAGAATAAACATGCAAGATGTCACTTTACATTCAGTACAACCATGACAACTAGAGTATGAACACCATTCAACCACTTTCAACTTTGTGAATAAACAGCAAATGTCTGAACATAGGGCACATTATAAACCAGGGATAGAAATACGTTTTTTTCTAAGTGTGCCTTATGGCACCAGACAAATATTTTAGGTGTGCCTTTCAGAAATCAAGTATGCCCACATGTTTTTAGAATACATGACAATGATGATGATCATTTGAAATTTATTGTTAAATAAAGATATGGGTTTATTGGCATTCAAATATGTATGGTATTATTCAGTTTGGAAAAAATAATTGTTTGGGGGATTAAATGACTAAATGTGAGTTATGTCTCTAAAACATTAGGCGTGTCAAAAGGGCACCAAGAGCATTTTTCAGCCGTGCCATTTCAATATTTACTGTGCCATGGCACACTAATATATGGGGTATTTTTAACCCTGTAAACCTAGACTGTACTTTAACAAAGAAACTTATATGGGTATTTTTGACCAAAATGGGCTTTCACAATTTGCAAGAAACCACCATAGCCATCATACTATTTATAATATTTTGGAAAAGTATACAAATGAATGGAAAATTATGAGTTAACATAGTTATCTTTAGACAAGGTGGACCTATAAAGAAAAATGTTTTGAATGGCAAACAATTATCTATTGTTAATCACTATGCCTATCTCGGACTAGTGTTTTTCCATGCTAAACAAGAGTCATCAAAAGATGACAAATCCCCCAGCCACTACAAATATGAAACAGCAAATCATCTGACAGTTACTTAAAGTTGAACTTCATTTTTTTAGACAAAGTCTAAAACGTTTCCATGGCAACCAAGAAAAATAAAAATGACAACAATCTGTAAATATTCAAAGGCACCACTTTATTTTCTGTTTGATATATCTGCAAAGTTTTGTTGAAAATATTGAACCGTTTTCGAGTTATGCTCCGGAAACAATATGATTACGGACGGACGGACAGACAGACAAGACGTTGACTATATCCCCCCGCATTACATCGGAAATCACATGCTAAGAAGGCTCTTGTCAAATTTATGTCAGTTTCGAAGAATTTTTTTTTATATTAACCCAGAAAATATGTTTCATACTGTTTAATTCAGAAATTGAACCAATTCTGCTTCATAGAAATATCAAAATTCCCTGAATTTTCCCTGACTTTCAGAGAAATGCCAGATTTCCCTGACTTTTCCCTGACCTGTGGGAGCCCTGAGTTTATACCCCACTTTATAACACTTTCATTTTCTAAGTATTCATTTTAAATGATTAATGAAACGATAAAAAAATTATGTTTGGTTCATTATACTTTATTGGTTGTGCCCTACAATAACATAAATTACTAGGCAGAGTGGAGTAATTAATCCTGCTAACCCTACTTGATCTGTTTACTCTGTGAAGTAACTCAAGGCATTATCTTGCACAGTAAACAGTGTAAACATAGGTTTTTGAATATCAAGCAATGTTCGCTTCATATATTATGTACATAAAGCTATTCCATATCTCTGTGTAGGAAGTATGTATCAAAATTGTGAATGTGCTCCCATAACTTCGCAGTAGAAAATGGCAAATACCAAAACATAACTTTTGTTAATTGAAAAGATGATATTTAAGATGAATTGCATTTCATGTTATATTGTCCATCATATCATAGATATAGATACTGTTTTTATTATTTAACAATATAATTACAAATGTCCATCAGTAACTTTTGTATTAACAATGTTAGAGTAGTTAGGTAAATATTTATATGAGGCTAGTATATTCAGAGATGAGTTAATTAGTACACATTAATTGTACAGGTATCTTCCCATAATAAAGACCTCCCAACAGACAGACCTCTTAAAACAACACATTTTATGGTTGGTTGCATAAGGCTTAATGAAGCTTAACCCTTGTTAATAATGGTATGTGCCCAGATAAAAGAACAACATTAGGTATTAACTATAGTTTCATCAATTCAAGTAATTAATTATGATTTTTAAATTCAGACATATTGCATCAACACATCCACATCTATTTGCCAGATCACATCTACTTGTGAATATTATCAAATACAATAATTTATATACATGTACCTACCAAACATATGAGACCAAGCACCATATTATTATTCACCACTAAACTCTAGCGTTGCCAAATTTATCAAAACTGGACTTTACTCAATTTTGTAATATGTGTCAATAATAATATGCTGTATGTTCTCTGTGTCACAAAATGCTTGTACTAATAATTAAGAAGGCCCTTTTTGTATAATTGTACTCACTGACATAAAACATATTTTCTTCTATGTCAAAAGTACATGATTACATTCAAAGACAATATTGATATGAAAAATTCACATGTTATTTTTATTACATTGAGTACTTATGTTGACACTATTTCAGAATACACATTCTCTTTTTTTACTGTGTGAATAGTGCTACAATTCCTACGATTTATTAAAAATAAGTGTTGCCCACATATGGACATGTTGAAATTTTCAATTTGCATAATATTTGTACTTCAGTCAAATGAGGATTTATTTATTTCAAATAAAACTCATATAGGAATGTATTGTTTCTGCGGTATCAATAATTGCATGGTAAATGTCTAACATTTGAAAAGTCAAAATTGCACCAATATGTTAAAATTACTAAACTTGCAAATCAGTCATAATTCATATATTCCCGCCATGTACATTGTCACTGACAATAGCCATACACGATACTCAGTTTAGTCTATTTGACTTGAAAATGACAGATAATTTTACTTACCGCTCATTTCTCCTGATTGGGAGTCAGACTCTGAGTCGGAATCGAGAGAATCGACGGATATGTCCGACTCAAAGTCCGACTCCCCCAAATCGTAGTCATCACCCACTCCCACTGCCGTCATGTTCCAACGATGATATGTTGTCGTCTGTCACATGGGGCTATATTTACACTCATGAATATTCATACTCTTGGCGGGAGGCAACCTTTTTATATATTTCCGTGAGCATCCCTTGTGCTGATTTCTCAAACAAAACAAGGATGAACTATTGTAGCGCCATTAGTATCTTTAATCACATTTCATTCATCTACGTATCAACGTTAGCGATTGAAACGTAGAACTTTATTGTTTTGACTCGGGCAGCGGTAACCTCTGTGACGCGGCATGTCAAAGGTCGCGTGTCACGGTATTTTGTTCCAGACGAACAATCGCAAATTAACCGCGCCCACCTCGCCAATATTATGGAAGCGGTGCGCGGTGGAAATTTAGAAAGTGTCAATAGAAACAGATACACACATATTCTTCAAAATAAGAAATAGGAATCTAAATAATAACAGGGTATCCAACAAATGCATACAGCCAGTATGAGTGTATTTTTTACGCACTGAAACAGAAACAACAACAATTAGATGACAAGCTTTATGATAGTCAGCGAATGAGCAACCGTGCTACAACTTATGATGTATATCATTACAAAACAAAACGTATTCATTCCGTGGTAAATCACACTTACACGAAGTTCGTGTTGAAATGAGAAATAACCTATTAATTCAGGATAATCAAAACAGCGATTAGTACGTATTAAATATAAGCTTTTGGTGTTGTTACCAATGTGTACTTTTCAACGTCTATTCAGAAAGTTAAACATCTATAATATTCTAAAAACAATTACTAACACGCGGTCGTTCCGAAGAAATAAACAACACAGTCCCCACTAGGAGATATCACAGGCTATCTTGCCTGCATTTCTTTTGTCATCTGAGAACCGTAGGTGCCGCTATTTCTTCTCGTGGAAAGTACTGTCAGCGACCTTCAACTTCGGTCGCCATTTTGTGTCAACTTCCGGCGAATGAGTTTCGGTACCCTTTCTGTATTTTTCCTAAATATGAGGTATGAGGGGACATAATGGAATATCTGAGTATACACACCATTATGAAAAGTGGCAGTGTTCCACAAGTAAAGTTCTTAACATGATGTCAATGGGTATGTATTACTGTCTGTATGATTTCAAATATACGTTGAGGCGCGAAGTGAAAAACGATGCATATGGCAACCAAGTCGGTTCGCGATAACTTAATAGATGAATGGATTAGTCTAATAGTCCAATTATCTAAACCGGATCGATGGACTCATTTACAGTCCTGATCAAGTTAGATTTAGGACAATGCTTCACTTGGAATCTAGACCAGATCGGTGGACTCAGTTACAGTCCTGAAAAGTCAGATTATGGAATCCTATTTCTATGAATGTTTGTTTTACACTCGGCAGAACTGGATCTGGTTTAGGCTGACTGAATTGCCCACCTAAACATTGTCAACTGCACTGATCCTGAGCTTGTAGGATCTGACAGCTTGAAGACCTCATACGTCGGGACTTGTTCTGTAAGGAGACACATTGACTGGATACAACACCTATATGGAATTCTCATTGTTGCCATTTTTAGACTTCATCTCTGTATGGATGATATATCGCTGTATGGGGCTGTTACCGCCATTCACTGGTCGCCATTGCATGGTGCAGTGTTTGCTTTTGGTTGCATGCAACACAACAGAGAGAACTACAGGGTGACAGGGAAGTTCAATGCCTATAAACATTGCTACTCTGTTGTCGTTGCCCCCGGTGAGATGACCCGACACTTGTAGCTTACTGAAGTCCTGACCAGCAATTCCAGTGATGATGAGACTGCCCTGTGGTGTGATGAGATGTCGACCTCCATTGCTGATTGGCTGTTGCACATAATCCGGCTTCTTGTAGAAGACCCATAACCTGGATGTTATGATCTCAGGTGACACCACACCACTGCAGGGTGGCACTGGTACTCAGGATGTCAGTGATATACTGTTGTGGCTGCACTCTGTGTCTTGATGATGACTCTTCTGAGGCATTACCATGGGTGTTGGTGGCAATACATCGGTAGAGATCAGAGACTCATTACTTGGTCGTAGTGATGATGACTCTTCTGAGGCATTACCATGGGTGTTGGTGGCAATACATCGGTAGAGATCAGAGACTCATTACTTGGTCGTAGCCATAAACAGCAAGCCATTGTCCATTGATGCCAACACCTGCCCTGCTAAACACTGAAACACTCCACTGTCCAGTAGGTTGATTCCATTAATTATCAGTGCCATTACCAAAGTCTCTGTATCTTGGATTGCCAAGCAGTTTGATCCGCCAGTGTTGTACTATGTGAAACTACTCACAGACAAGTTTCACTGTCTCACTGAAGTCCTTGTCCCGGTAGTACAGGATGTTGTGGGCAGTGGTCAGGTGGTGAGGGGACACTCGCTGATGGTGACCTTCACCCTCTTGGTAACACTGGGAGACTGGAGGACAACCAGCTATAGACCTCTCACCATGCATTCCTGTGTCAGTATTCTTGGGTGACTTTATTGTCAGAACTCACTTGAATGGACTAAACAGGTATCTCCTTCACATACTATCTTCAATAGAATTGACTGGACAATCTCTGCGAAAATGGCCTGTTTTCCGCACTTGAAGCACTCCCGATCTCGTTGGTGATGATGAGGGGCTTCTAAACCCACGACTCAAGATGACTGTCAACTTCCTCGTATGTCATGCTGACATCTCCTCAACCCGAAGCTTCCAGGTGGGTCAAACGTTCCACCACATTGTACCTTTACGGGTTGTGATGGAGTTTGCCGCTTATCCTGAGAAGGAGGTGATTCGACTGAGAAGTCATTTGCGAAACCAAGTATTCATCTTCCTCGAATCATTGGCCAAGTTTGATTGCTTCACATCTCGGCTAATGACTGGTCTACCATATACTGCCTGGGTGTTCTGGAAGTATTTCTGTACAGCATCCATGGCTGATTCCAGGTTCTCAATCCCAGGTTTGAAACATAGTGGGCAGCTTCTTTATTAGCACATCCTTGGCAGAATCTCCGCGACCACTTGTTGTTCCACAAAGTCATCTGGTAAACCGAAAGGCAGCAATCGCGACTTGAGTACACACGCCCGCCCATTCTTCCAAGGACTCGTCCGAAAGTTCTGACGAAGGTTTGAAACTGCAGTTGGGCAGTCTCTGCATGGCACTGTTTCCCAAACCGCCTATCCAGTTTCTTTATCATTCCTTGGAAAGAGATGAACTCATCCCTCTCTATCAATAAGGCAAAGAAATCAGCTGCTTTACCGGTTAGGCAGTAACACAACTGATCTAACTTTTCTTCATCCTTCCATGATTGAGAGCGAGCAAAACGTTGAAATTTCATATAAAGGAGGACCATCTTGTACTACCGCCATATAACATCCGCGGTAGTGAAGCTGTTGGTTTATCCCCATTTGCTCGATGTTTCCTCCCAATATGTTTAGGCTGAACTTCATCTAAGTCGCTATCCCAAGAGTAGCCTAACGGTTCTCTCCAGGCGGCTTTGATGACGATGAGGAGCTCTTTGGATCCTGTCTACCCTCTCGTTACGTAGAGGTTTACACATCCTCTGCCTATCTCTGGGGCAGGTGCGGAGACCATCAGCAAAATATCCAGGATGATCTCGAGTGGCTGGAGTTCCCCGCAACTGATTGGGTTTATGGGCCACAGGATGTGTAGCATCCACCCGCATCGATTAGGACCTTCTATGGAATAATACTCCCTTGGCTCATGGTCGATATAGTCTCCATATATGTGAGACCTTTTGGGAGCCAGGAACGTTGATGGCTACCATAAGAATGGTCATGTGTGTCTCCATATACAGGATAATCCCTTAAGGAATGGTTAATCCTAGGGTACCCATCTGTATATCTTGACAAACCATCTTCTGTCCCAGATTCCAGATACATTTCCTCTCTAGGCCCAGCAGGGGTACTGGAAGTAGGAGGCCCAACGGGTCGCCCCCGTTCCGCTTTAAACAGATATTCATCTCCTTCTGATTCTCTATCGGAGATTTTCCCTGCTTCTCGATGCCCTCTCTCAGACTGTCATCTCGCACAGCTTGAGGATGATGGGACTTGGATCTAGCTGTCCCTTGGGTGGATGGGGTTTCACGGTGTTTTTCCCCTGGGCTGAGTTAAATAGGATTGGCTGAGGGGCCATTCTTTGGTTTGGCCTGTCCCTCCGTTCCTTATACCCAGGGTTAGAGCATGTCTCTGATGGACATTCCCATCAGCACCTTGGAGGACCCGAGGGTCGATCTCCTCAGTATTGGGCTTTGTCCTTGAACTCTGCCGTGACACGTCCATACCATGTACCACAGAATGAGGGTTAAGCATGGGTGCCTTGGCAAGACGGCCAGATACCGGATCTTTAGGGCCACTGGCTCCCAGATTGGCAAGAACATCAGTAAAAGCTTCCATTTCCCTGTTGAAATCATGAGAGGCCGCCTGCCACTGGTCATAGAGAGCACTATGACTCTGTGGAGTAAGTCCCTCTACTGGCCTGCAAGTTGGTTTCCGTGATATTCCAACTGTCTTAAGTTGGACTGAATAGCATCAGCGCCAGTACTGGTGACTGGTTTCTGAACCTTTGATCAGTATCGACAATCTACCTGGTGTACCTTCGGGTGACAGGGGTAAACTGTCCAAAACTGATTTAGATTTGATGTGGATGGTGCAGCTTGCCCTGAAGCCTGTTGCTCCACCATCCTCGGAGACCAAGAGCCTGCAGTTGAGATACCAGGATATTCCACAGCCGAAGGAGATGGCGCTTAAGAGCCTGCTCAGGGTTCCTGATAGAGGGAGATCACGGAAATCCTCCTCCGCCAGTACACCGAGGGTCTCTCTGAGTTCCACAATTTTCCGGCCAGTTTCATCCCTATTCCCGAATAAGCCTGAGTTCCTCCTCAGAGCACAGATTAACAAATACTGGTGGCATGATTGGATTATCTGAAATAATCCAACAACCATACTTAATATATGATAAGTTAGTACAAGTTATAAATAACCCCATTTTTGGAACGAATACAGTTGGGAAAGGAACATAAGTGTCCGAGCCTTCCCTGCAGTATTCTTGCTCTTGTACTACAACCTGAGGTAAGACCAAGCTGACCTATGGGTACTTATATGGTAGCTGTATAACCTTAAACTAACCTAGCTAAAGAGTTGCCGATATTATGGATAAGACAAACTCTATATATGTCAAAGGATAGAAGGTGGAGGTTACAGCCCATGTAACGAGTCTACACCTGAGCCAAAGAGACCATGGCGGCAGAGAAGACCCGAGACATACGATCAACCACAGCTACCACCGATAGAGAACTGATACCAACCCAAACAACACTGTGCTACACGTTGCTGACAGGGCGAGGCAATGGCAGCAGACTGCGATGCCCATTGTCCGAAGAAGGATAGAGCGCCAGTTGATCGTGAAGAATGCTCCACGTTGCCGAATATACTGACTGCGGACCAGTAGAATGTTGCCGTTCGTATGAAGGACAGAGCATTAAAGTGGACGGCATATTGTCAGCAACCGGACTTACAGGCTTCACAAACCAGAACCAAGTGAACGATATCGTTCCCCGGAGGACAAACAACTCAGCCGCTAAGCGTAAGCTACCCTTGCCTAACACTACCAGACTTACAGATGCACACACACAACATTGCAGGCAAGATAACAGAACTGTACCAGCAGTAAACTATGGCAAATGGTATACCTAAGAATAATCTGTACGGTCAGCGGGCGTCCAATACTGAAATGCAACCTGGCCACATTAGGGTGAAACACTTGCACAATCTAACGTTTGACCTAAGCTAATATAACACAATCATATTTCATGCATGGCATAAACATGATTATAAAAATGACAAATAAATAAACACTAACACATTGAACAAGCTACCACACTTACCAAATGGACATAAATAATAAACAAATAATATACACACCAGGCCTAGGTGACAGTTAACCGCTGTCAGTCAGTCTTGACAAGAGTGAGTGAGTGCAGAAGTGTCAACCTAAAACCTTGTATAATAATAAAAAACCTAATACACATAACTTATAACCCCAGACTTAGGTGACAGTTGACCG